TAGGTACGGCCTGCCCTGCCCGGCTGTGTGCGCTGCCCTGCCCCGAGGCTCTTGCTTGGTGGGTTGTGGCAGCTACTCAAGCAGAAACTAAGTGAAGACCTGATATACACAAATACTACTTCTAAAATTAAAACCAGACCGGCCGTAAGGAGCTTTTTTGGTTGTTTGGTTGGTGTTTTCTCTTCCGAGTCCCAGTTAATGCAAAATTGATAACCTGACACCTGACTGGCAGTACACAAAACGTTGTAGCTCTCAGGCACACAGAATTGCCTGTAATCATTATGGTAATATATATGATAACATTACAGAACTAATTTCATCAGGTGACACAATTCCTTGTGAGCATTAAGAAATAATAGTCAGTGATAAATCTTGTGTCAGCTGGCTATAACAGGATTTGTTAGTAGAGGTATTGACAAACATGGTTAACAGTAAGGGTCCAGAGATGCTAACTCAAAATTTTTACAAAACAGTGTCTATAAAGTATTAGGATTGTATAATTAATGCGGAATTGTAAGATTGTTGCAAGCAAAAATCCATAAAGATGGTAAACCACACAGTATTAGTAAAGTGTTTTAAAACAATATTTGTCCTCTCTTACCATGGATTGGGGCACAGAATAAGTCCGAAGGAAGAATGAAGCACATCTTCTGAGTACATATGTTATGCTACAGCGAGAACTACATCTTCTGAGCCTTTCATTCACTGTTTACATTGCTCAGAAAAGACTTAATAGGGTTTCTTAGGTTACATGGTGATCATTGCTGCATATGGACTATATACAGCAGTTAATGGTGCACAGTGACTTAAGTCTGTTGCACTACATTGTGCAGCACTGAACTACATTCAGCTGTGGGAATAGCTGAACTCTGTCTCATATAAATGTCTTTTAGGGTTGTATATAATGTAGTGCAATATGAAACTGCTTAGATATGGTTTAGATCTTAAACAGAGCATGCCCTGCTAGATTCTTTTAACTGCAGAATTCAGTCTTTCTTTTCAAAAATTCCAAACGGAATAAAAACCTAAATTTATTTGGACTTGCTTTTCATGCAGGCTTAATATAGATTGTGGTAAGTACTTGAGTTTTAGTTGTTTCTGAATTATTTTTATTTGATTTAAGATGAAAGGCATTAGAAAGATATGATTAATTTTTAAAAGACATTTTTTCTCTCTTTCATGTTTACAGATCCTTTTCCAGTTGATGTGATCCAGGAAAATTATGTCCGTAATGTGAGAAACTGCATTTTTTCAATTGTTTATCCTACACCTTTTAAATCTAGAGTTCGTCTTGTAGCTGTTTCAAAGGTTGGTTGTTGTTTTTTATTCCTCTCTAATTTGTAGAGATTGTTAATATGTGTACTAAAGTATATTTTAAAGTATATTTTAATATTCATTTGCTCTTTATTGTAAAAGCATCTCATCACTATATACTTTAAACATATTTAAAACATACTTAAGCATATATAAAACATATTGTGAACTGTCTTTTAGTAACAAAATCTGTAGAGAAAACATGTTCATTACCCCTGACAATTTGATCATTTTCAAGTACTAACTGTATTCTTTTTTTCTCCAGGAAGTTATTGAAAATATTTTGGATCTTGATATATCTGTCAAAGGAACATCTGATTTTCTTGAGTTCGTCAGTGGTGGGAAAGTGATACTTGGGTCTGTTCCATTGGCCCATAGATATGGGGGTCACCAGGTAACTGTGGCACTCATTTCTTCCAAGTTGAATTATGTAGCATTTCCATGTGAATTATACCTTGATAATACCTGTAAGTACATGAACACTTATTAACATTTTGATTGCAGATTTGATTTTCATAAGGGGCTGCAGGTGGAAGAAAACTATAATATTCTTTCTCAGTACCATGTTTACTTCCTCTGCTTCTGTTTATTCCTGAAGCAAATTGTCTTTTTGACTTCCATTAGCTGCTGACTCTGCTTAGCACCCCTGCAGCTTAGCCAGCTCTGATTTGTGACAGGTATTATCAGCTCAGAGGAGTGAAGAAGGGCAGAGCCTCACTGCAATACCATGATTAATAAGAGTTAAGCTTTATTGCAATTGGTGTGATTATTAATGGAGAAGAATGGTAGAATTTGGTTTGTAGTTTCCAATTAAAAATACCAAAACAAGCCATGTGAGTTTAAAGGCTCATTATACAAGCGAGGCAGGTCTGTACCTGTACATCATAGCTGGAAGGTGAAAAAAAGTGGGGATTACTGCCATTATTCTTTTTCTGTGGTTTTCTGATTAATTATGGGTTTGAGTGTGGAAATAACAGCTTTAGGGATCAACCTCATAATGACTGTGTGAGAAAATGTGTCATTATATTGTGTAGAACACAGAGAACCTACACGTAATTTGTATTGTTTCAAGTATAACTGTTATAAATGGTAGAAGAAAATAACTTGATTTTCATTTTTGTCAGTTTGGTACCTGGGCAGGTCAGCTGGGGGATGGAAGAGCCCACTTGGTTGGAGTATATACAAACAGGTGTGACTTTTTTTTAAATGACTGATTCAACTCTGTGTTCAATTTAGTTGATTGATGGATAGCTCAAGGTGTACTGTTAAAAATGCTAATGGTATTTTTGCAGGCATGGTGAGAGGTGGGAACTGCAGTTGAAAGGGTCAGGAAAGACCCCATACTCCAGGTAAGTTGCAGTTGTTCTGTGTACACCAAAACTGAATGTTTTCTTTTTGAAATTTGCTTTGATTTTATGACCTATTCCTTATTTCTCTGTTCTTTGTAGGAATGGGGATGGAAGAGCTGTGCTTCGCTCTTCTGTTAGAGAGTTTTTATGTAGTGAGGCCATGCACTATCTTGGAATTCCTACAAGCAGAGCTGCTAGGTATTTTTCTTTTCTTTTTCACAGTATCTTCATTTACAGGTAATTTTGTGACTGAG